AAAAAAAAACCGACAGAAATGGCGGGAAATAAGCAGAGACCTGCATCGGCATGAAATTGGGCGGTGGCCGCGAATAATTCGGCGGTGGAACTGCCACATTTGCCGGATAGTGGGACATCACTGCCGCCGCCGGCGTATTGGTTGCTGTACCTGGATAACTTGTTTTCCGCACTTCTAAAAAACACTTCCGGTAAAATGTCCAAAAGCTAATCACACGTGTTCAAAGGGATGGTAAATAATGCCTGCTACTGTGTCACAACTTTGGTTCCAATGGACCAGAAAGAACCAATAATGGAGAGCCCACCATACCAGAAAAAAAAAATCCGTTCCCACGCTGCTTTTATGCAGCTGTGTGAAGAAATCAGCAATCCTGGCAGCACATAGCCGTTACTTTTGAGTGTCCCCTTTCTTCTCTTTTTCAAGGAAATTAGAGAAGAGGCGCTGACTTTAATCTGACATACCGGAATCCAGGTTTAACAATCGTTTTGCATGCAGCTAATCACCGAAAATTCGAGAGGAGAGCCCCAAAATCAACTCGTCAAAGCAATCAAAATGAAAACCAATCCCCTAACAGCTTCACAATACAACAGTGGCAGTGATTGAAAGGGAGAGAACACAGACTGGAGAGGAAGGACGAAATTACCAAGCTACGGCTCGTGCTCTGCAAAATCAATCTGAAAAGCGCACCTGAAGTGGCCGTTTGAGTGTTCAAAACATCTTGAGGGCCTGAACTCGGTACAGATATGGTTGGTTGCAACTTTGGCACCTGGAATGTACCGTTCGGTGGTGGGGGCGGAAATGCTGTGGTATCGTAATATCGCGACGGTAGCTGAAAGCAAACACTCCTCACAAGTGCAAAAACAATCCAGAATGAAACAGGCTTATCTGCACTGGATGAGCTACCAAAAACACGTGGTTGATTTCTAGCAAAAATATTTTGTTTTCAAAAAAATTGTCCAATTGTACCCCCACCCCCTCTTTGCCATGATGAATGAACGAGTGGTTCCCGCTCATTTCCAACCACTTTCCAGTACTTGTGCTCCTCACAGAAGGTGGAATATGAAGAGATTTCAGCTGTTAACTCGACAAATCCAGCAAGAACACAATGCAGAGGAAGCGTTTGGTACTAAGTCACACAATAAGCTCCGTCATTTGGGGCGGCCCCGACCTATAATGAGCGATGCATCTCAAAAAGCATTTCATGAGGATAAAAGAATGCCTGTCTTTCTGTGACACGAGGATAAGATGGGCCCAAGTGCGAATGTGTCGTGATTGGCACAGCATCGCTTTCGTTTTTGGATACAGCTGAGCTGCCTCCAGCGCGCCAACTTCCAGATTCTGCAAAAAA